TCAAAACTTTGAAGAAAGAAAATATCTTTGGGATTTCTCTTTCTGCTTATAGAGACTATAGGGGGATAAAATGAGAGGGAATAGTGTTTTTAATTGTTTTTATTTTATTGTAGAATATACATACTATGAACTTCATTTGCTTGACCATTGTGAAGTGTACGATGCAGTGGCAGTAAGCACACTCACATTGTCGGGGAACCACACCACCACCCACCCCCAGAACTCTTTCATGGTCCAGAATTGAAGCACTGAGCAATGCCTCCCCTCCCTCTCTCCTCCAGCCCCTGGGAACTACTGGTCTGTTTTCTGTCTCTGTGGCTTTGGCTGCTCTAAGTACTTTATATACCCAAGTTGCCTCATATAATGTGTTAGTCCTTTTGTGACCAGCTTATTTCATCTAGCGTAATGTCTTCAAGGGTCATCCCTATGAGAGCTTATGTCAAAACTTCATTCCTTTCTAAGACTGAGAAGAATATTCCACTGTGTGTTACACATCGCATTTTGTCTATCCATTTATCTCTCATTGGGCATGTGGGTTATTTCCACCTTGTGACTTATTATGAATAATGCCGCTATGAGCATGGCTGTGCAAATATCTAAGTTCCTAATTTGGATTCTTTGGTTAAATGGCTGAATCGAGTGGTAAATTCCATGTTCAGTCTTTTGAAGACTCACCAGATGGTTTTCCACGGAAGCCGCAGCACTTTGTACCCGACCAGCAATGAGCAGTGTTAAATTTCTGAGGAAGGGACGGTGCCTTCAAAATGGCATCTCCAAACAATGTTAAAACCAGTGCCTTTGCAGGGAAACCTTTCCCTGTGAAATTGAAAAGCGATTTGATGAAATCCGTTTTGGTTTTCAACTCTTCCTTTCTAGGTGCTCAGTATCAGCAGCATTAACAGGAGAGGGGCGGCACGTCAGGTGAAGAGCTCAACCAGCCTGGAGTGTCGGTTCAGTGGTTGGAGAAGCGCAGGAGAGGTTGGGAAGGCCAGGCGAACATGCCGACCTGGGGGCCGCAGCGCCCCTTACACTGAGTTAGATAACTTTAGAGAAAACAAAAAAGACATTGTTGAAGATGGGAAGGAGAAAGCCAACTGGGACACCTTTTCCATGATGGGCAGGGAAATGACAGTCCCAGCTTGTAAGAGGTCATTTGAAAGTTGCTTGATATAGAAATATTAGGTGAAATTTCAGGGAAAGCAAAGCAAAGGCTGTCAGAAATGTTTCTGAACAAACAAACCTGAGCAGAGAAACCTAAATCAGCTGCTGGGTTTGCAGGCGAGGATAGAGCAGCTAGGGAGGATTAAAATGTTTGAAGAAGATGGCTACATGTGCAGAAAGTCAAAACACCGTAATCCGCCTCATGTTTATAGATACCTTACATTTTGAATGCTAGGTATTTACTAGCAGAGGAAAGTTTCCTTCTGATTTAGAGGCACAATCATGGACAAAGAAGAATTGCTGGTTGGTTTGGCAGCTGAACGAGTGTTTCTTAAATGTCTATTCTGTGCCAGGTTCTGGACGTGGAGATGAATGAAATGCGGAGTCTGTGTCTAGGAGCTTACGGTGGTGGTGGGCAGGCAGGCAGGTCAATTCGGTAGACATCCTCAATACAGCGAGGAGGTGATGCTTCAGGATACTGTGTGCATTAAGGGAGCACTGCCTGGGGGTTCAGTGACCCCTAGAAGGCTGTCTGAAAAAGAGGTCTGATCTCACATGTGGGCTGATGAGGAGTTTGCCTTCCAAAGGAGGAAGTAGAATTCAGGAGGTAGAATAGAACCTCTTTCTAGGAGGAAGGACATGTTTGTGGGGAGTCTGATTTGTGGGGAGTCGGTGGGGAAGGGGACGGGAAGCTACCAGTAGCTCAATGGTATTGCGAAGCCGTGAATGCCAAGACACAAAGCAGGCAGGGACTGTGCCAGAAAGGAAGATCAAAACTATTTATTTTTTCCTCATTAATATCTACATCCATCCCATATGAATCCCCCATCTCCCTACACCAGCACATTTTTTTTTTAGTAATCATAGTTTTAGTATGTGAAATTGAGGGTTCATTGTAAGTAGGCTGTTCTTTGAGTGTAGGACGCTGATTGATATTAACAGTAGTTAGCTGCATGTTCTCATGGGTTTTGTCTCTTCTTACCACTGCCTGAATCATGTGTTGTGGTTGGTTCTCCAGAATCCATTTGGTTCCTGCCTTGAGTAACAGCAGTGTGGTTTGGGGAACTGACCTTAGGTGAAGGTCAGCAGGTTTAAGGGTAATCCTATCTCTACTGCTAGGGTTTTAGTTCACTGACGGGCAAGTGATTCTCTTTGGCCTAATGAGAAAAGAAGAAAGTTTGGGGAAAAGAATGGCCAACCAAGCTGCTTCAATTGCTGGAGGAGAATCGGAAGCTTGTAGCTCTATGTGCCATGAGGGAACCTAGGCTTTGGGTAAAGGTGACTCGAGGATAGTAGAATGGAGAGATTCAAAAATACTCATCAGAGTCCTTAGTGACCCTTGGAACTGGGAACCGAGCTAACTCTCTGTGCTTTGTTTCAGTATTAGTGGCCTTCCTGTCCCTAAAGCCAATATATTTTCTTCTCATTTAATATATTTTGGGTTTGTTCATCTGAAACTTGAAATCATCTACACCCTAAATGAAATGGAATCTATGTAACCTTCAGCATACAGATGTATGACTCTTTTGTGACAAAGTCTTTGAGCCTCACTTTTCTTATCTGTGAAATGAATATAATTATTTCTCATAATTTTTCATGAAGATTATTTAAGATCCAGCACAAAGCCCAAGGGAGGAGCCATGAACTAATATATGTTGAATACCTACTATGTACTGTAAAACAGGCCAGTCCTTGGTTTTAGGAAGGTTAGGAACTAGAAGAGAAATTTACAGATCATTCCATATAAAATGGTATAAAGCCACATGCGTAGGCCTCATTGTACAGTCGGTTTCAGATTGTTCAGTGTTTGTTGAACACCCGCTGTGCCAGGCATGTGATGGAGCTTGGGATGGGGCTGGGGCTTAAGGGAAGGCTTATCCAAAGAAGTGGTATTTATGCTGAAACCTGAAGGATGAGTGGGAATTAGGTGAAGAATGCAAAAGTGAGAAAGATCATTTCTGGCAAAAAAAAATGTGCAAAGTCCAGGAGATGTGAAAGAACTCTGTGTGCACAAGTGTAATAGAAAAACAATGATAAATAAATAAGTAAATAGTAAATAAATATTTCCTCCAGGTATAGAGGAAAATCACTTACTGTAACAAGTTGTTTCTCCAGAGAAAAAGAAAAGGAAAGAAAGGACTCCATGTGTGTGGTCCAAGTGGAGTGACAGGATTAACAGGGGGGAGATGAGGTGGGAAAGGTAAAAGGGGATGGGTAATACAGGGGGTCTCGGGGTTCAAGGGAGCAGGGCAGCAGGGCTAGAGAACTGGGTGGGTTCCAGCAGCATTTTGGGTGCACAGCTTACTGCATCTGGCGATAGATGGGAGGGACAGGAATCATGGAGAGATTGATGTCACAGATGACTGTTGAGTTTCTGTGTGAGTAAGTGGAGGAGACCGGAAAGGGGACTGTATTTTTCATAAGAAAACCAAGGTTCGGGTTTGAGCATGTTAAGGTTAGGATATCTGTGGCACATGGAAACTGGGGTGTGGAGTGACAGTTTGCTTCTGTCTGAACCTGTGAGTGAGGACTTTCTAGGGCGGAGTCAAAATGGGAGGGTCCCTGGCCTGTTGGTCATATCAGAAGTGAGGGGAATGGGTGGCACCTGTGAAGGAGGGTGTGGCGAGTGGGAGAGAGGGCTCCTTAGCTCACTGTTTCTGGGAAGCCTTCTCTCACCTCTCAGGTGTGAAATATTCACAAGCCTGGGGAAGAGAAAAGGAAACCCTGACCTGGGTGTGGAGCTGAGTAAAGGGAAGAATTTTTTGAGAGTCGTGGAAGTTGGTTGAAGGGGGAGAGTGATGAGAAAGGAGAAGAGTGAAGACCTTGGCCAAGAGGCAGGTGTGTATCAGTGAACTGGAGTCCTGAAGGAGATCAGAGGGGGTTTAAGGTCCTGGCTTTGAATCCTCTGAGGCCAAAGGGAAGGAAATAAGGACAGGAGTTTAATGGTGAAGGGCTAGGGACACAGGGAGGTGAGATCATTTCCTACTAGAAACCTCAAAACACACGTGTCCTGTGTGTGCATACACACAACCCCCCACACACCCCTGGTGGTGGTGCACAGGGTCACCTGGGTGGAATGTGTGGTTCCTACCACATTCACTGCTATTTCTTTGGTAATACTGGGTACATAGGAGGGGCTTGGTAAGGGTTTATTGAATAAACGTGCTCAGGAAATGGGCTTTGTATTTTAGTTGCAGGACTACCCATGTGAGAGGATGTGGAGAGTAAGTAGGAAAAAGCAGAAGCCACAGACTCGGCCCCTTTACACCTTCCACTCTGCTCTTTTTGTCATCCATGTAGCAGTTGTAGCTTTGTTTTTAAAAATGGCCAGTTCTTTTGTCTTTTATTTGCTTATTCTATTGGATGGTGAGTTCTTTGAGGGTAACATCTCCCATATATCCTGCATCCATGTTTCCAGAATCATCGGTTGACATATAATGAGTGCTCAATAGATATTTGCTGAATGGGTGTGGGAGAGTGGGTTTGCCTGAGTGCCGGAAGATTCAGAGGGGACAGAAGGGGCACTTTCCCAATGGAGGCAGAGATGCAGCTAAACTGCAGGGGGTGAGGGAGGGCTGCACCTGGGGGCGGCACTGACGGAGTGGCCTGATTTCATATTCTCACGTGCAGTGTGGTGATTCGTGACTTGCTTAGAGTCAACCATGTAGAGCTCAATTGTTTGTTCCTTCCTCAGCAAGTTCTGGGCCATTGTTACCAGACCACCTCCTAATTTGCTGAAGCCTTGTTTTTACCCACTTAGGCCAGATGAAGTATTGTCCGCCCGGACGCCGTCTTCATATGATTTGTTTCCTGAGTTATATTTTTTTCCTCTTGCCTAGCTCTCCACTGCGGTTTGAATCCACGGGCTATTGACCACCCTGCCCGTGCTGAAGGCATTAAACTGCAAATTGGAGGTGAAGGTGTTGAGTCTCAATCCATTAAAAACAAAAACTTCCAGAAGGTGCTTGACCAGAAAGGAACCCCCAAGCGACTGCAGGCAGAAGCTGAGACGGCAAAGGTAGGTAACAATCCAATGCACTCGGGAGAAGGCGGAGCTGCAGCTTTGCTGTTTTGTGGTCCGGCCACAGAGGAGAACTGATGGTGCTTCCCCAGTTACCGTTGTCTCTTCAGGTTAACGGACACTGCTTCTTGATTATAGGTAATAATAAATGAGGATATCGACTGCTTCCCCTTCGGGGCGAAATCGAAACCCATTTGTGGTCGGTCTCATTGCATGAGGTTCTGAGTACGGTGCAGAGTGGGCTGGAGTGAAGAATGCCTTGAACTTAAGCTGAAAGATTTGTTTGCCAGGCTCACATTGATCATCGTATGATGTTGGGCAAGTCATGTGACTTGCCAAGCCTCAGATTTCTTCATCTATTGAGTGTGTATCATAAAAGCCACCTCCCTCATCAGGTTGAGCAGATGGAATAATACGGTGCATCTGGAAGTATTTTGTAAAAGCATTGGCTGCATGAGTGTTGAGGGGCTTTTGCTGACAAACACTGTTAATAGTGATGATAACTGATGTTTTCTTAAATATATCCGTGTATTCCAGGTATTTTTGAAGGACTCTTGATGTCCTGGCTTATTGTGTCTCTGCAACAGTTTTGTGAGGTAGATGATAGTGAATAGTACATCGGAACCTGCTTAATAAGAGATGCAGTCGTTCTAGTTCACTGGGTGCTTGGTTCTGTTTAGTCTCTAGCCTGAGTGTAGGTGCAAAACACACATCGGTAAACTGGGAGTTGGAGGGTAAGTGATACTTCAGTAAAGCTTTGTAAAAAGCTTTTCTGCAAGGAAGCTGGCACCATGTGGGTTTTTGTGAGAATTAAGTGAAGAGGCTCATGTTGGGGGCACAGTGTTGGAGATACTCATATGTGTTCCCCTGACAAATGGAAACAACTGGTCATCACGTGGTATTTGGTTTCTCCCTTGCGTGTTCTCTGCAGAGAAATTTCCTTGAAATATTTGAGTAAAGGTGTGTGTGGCTTGGAAAGCAAATGTTGCCATCACCCAAGAAAAGCCTTAAGTACAGACTAACCTCCAGGCTATTTTGCATTAGGTCTGACCAGTGTAATAAAGCAAATCATCATCTTTTGACTGGTGGGGGATCTTGCCTTAAATTTGTTTTAAAAAACATGTAAAGTGCAATAAAACAATAAAATGAGTAAAATGAGATGTGCGTGGAGAGTCTTTGCTGTCATCCAGTAACCACTCCCTCCCCCTAAAAAACATCTTCCAAAATCAAATGTGATGCCTTTGTTTTATCTGCAGTGTTGAAAGTTGTGAATAATTAACCTGGTTGCTTCTCTTTTTTCAGTGTAGAGGGTTGAAAACTGATGGCATTACTGTGTGTGTATGCGTGTGTGTGTGCACACACTAGGAGCAGTAGGGAGTAGGGAATGATTGTCAAGGAGACGGTTGCAGGTATTCTGCAGTAGATTCCTTTACCTAAGAGAAGTTGCACCTCATAGGAAATTGGTTGGTGATCCCCGAAGTTTGGTTTGTGAGCCGAGCCAGAAATAAGTGACCCCTGTTTTGACATCTAAACATCGTCAATCTCTGATTCCACACGGGCATCTTGAAAAGACTGACGGGGGGAGAAAGGTCTTAGTCTTCTTTAAGAAGACAGTTTGAGTAGAATCTTTTAAAAATGATGCTTAAAATGTTCAAAATTAGACTGCAGAAAAATCAAGCAAACTATACTTTTTTTGATTTTCGTTCAGATTTAAACATTTCCATATCACCTTTTTTATTTGCAAAACAGATAGGTATTATAAAAAATGTGCTTCAAATCTGATGAGATTTGATTATTTCTGAGTTACCGAGAATAAGAGATACTGTATTAAACCTGAACTTCCATGCGGGCAGCACTCGCCTTTGCCTCTTGGCCACTTCGTACACCCACTCCACCCAGAGTGCAGTTGTCTGTGACAAACATTTCCTCAGGAATCGACCCCATCCTGGAAACCAGATTCATTACAGCTTATCCAGATCATCGACAACAAACCCCTGAACAGATGGGGTTGCCAGGGGATTCTGGGTATTTTCACATCAACATCGTATTTGGGAGTGAACAGACTAGAAGCTGAAAAGCTTCGACAAACTACTGATACAGTCATATTTCCTTGGAGAGCTGGATGGTAGCAGTGGGTGCTGTGGGGACAGAATTGGAAAGAGGTAGCCCGGTGTCATTCCTGCAGACCTGCGCTCTCATGTCCCCTGAGGTTTCTGAACCACAGGCAGTGTGAACCGGTTTTATGCACGGCAGACACATGTACATTTTTTCTTCTGTTGCATTTAGAGGGTTTTTGGAGTTGTGAGTCATCATCTCCTTTTTTGTTGGGTAAATAATTGAATCTCTGGTAACCTGAGATACTCTGAATTTACCTTAAAAAAAAAAACACCAGAAGCCCTCAGGCTAGGGAGGCATGCATTGAAAGCCAGTCAGTGATGGAAGCTGGTACAGCTTTTCTGAAAGATAGTCTGCTAGTGGTTATCAGTGTTTTAAATGTGTGTAATTTTTGAGCCACTATTTTCTCTGTAGGAACTTGTCTTAAGGAAATAGTCATCCAGATGGGCAGGGATGGCTGCAGGAGAGTGGTCCCTCTAGCACTTTGTCTGATATGAAAGCACTGGAAACAGCCGAAATGACATTCGTGGGGCACTGGCCAAAGGAACAGTGTGCGTTCATGCAATGGAAAAGACGTTTTTCTTTATACAGTAAAGAATACCTACGTGTATTTATCCTAGTCCATTTGAGCTTCTGTAACAAAACACTTTGACTGGATGGCTTGTAAACTGTAAAAATTTATTTCTCACAATAGTGGAGATTGGAAAGTTCAAGACCAAGGTGCTGCCTGATTCAGTGTCTGATGAGGCCCACATCCTGGTTAATAGGTGGCTGCTGCCTCACCGTGTCTTCACAAGGTGGAGAAGGACATGGAGGTCTCTTTTGTAAGGGCACAAATCCCATTTGCGGGGGCTCCACCCACATTTCCTAAGCACCTACCAAAGGTCTCGCCTCCTGACACCCACCCTCACATGGGTGGTTGGGTTTCCACGAGAACTGTAGAGGAAGATAGACATTCAGTCTATAAGAGTATGCATGTGGGAACATGAGTGTGACGATGTTTCAAAGTCAGCAGGGGAAGAGAAGGTCAGGTTACTGCTCAGCATGTCTAGCACGTCCCCATTTCCATAAAAGTGTCCTTCACTGAAGAAGGGTGTCACTGGGTCTGGAAGAGCGTACCCCACAATTTGAGCAGCCCTTGGTATCTGGAGTTGAGATTACGGAGAAGACTTTGTCCACTTCAGTTCTGTTTGATTTTTTTTTAAGTATGCATTCTTGTATTTATTTTCAAGCCTTTTACAGATTGTCCTCTATTAACATTAGTAGCTCAACTGTGACTCTTTGGTGAGTTGTGTTCTGCCTTTTCAGGCGCCGTGTTTCCTTCCACGGCTTCTGATTCTTGCTGGTCAATTATTTGCCAAGGGGGAGTTATCTCGGGGAGTGTGCGTGGTCATGGAAGCCATTCGATAAGGTGGGGCTTTTGTTTGTTTCTGTTTCCCGTTGAAGTGAGCACTGAGGAGGTGCTTCATGCTTATCTCCTCCTGGGTCTTTTGGGATCTAATACCTTTGACCAGGTGTTACATTATGTTTCAGTTTGACACTCTGGCTACTGACTGACTCAGCCAATCCAGTCCTCTCACTTGCACTTCCCTGGTTGTGGGCTTCACCCAGGGAACCTGTGTCTAGCTCCCTGTCATGCCTGCGGGCTCCGACACCGAGTGTAGCCACATGGGGCTTTGAAACCACTCGGTCCCCCTGCATGTCAGCTGTCCCAGCTCTCGAATGGGCGCAGTGAGCTGGTGCCGCCTCCCCACTGCCATTTCCTGACACCTAGAGGTTTCTCTTCCTTGATCTTAAGCTTGGTGTTATATAAGTTTAAAATTTTACTTTCTAGGATCTTGAACTTTCTAGAGCTTCAGGGTGGGTTTGTAGCATGAACTTAACCTATTATCTTGATCCTGAAATTTCTATTTCTTTCTATATTTAAAAAATATATCACCTCTCTCTACTTATATCGGGTGGGGTACAATACATTTACAGTTGCTTGTATGGAAAATAATACAATGATTAATAATAATACAAGAGTAAACTCTGTTTTGCGTATTCACAACTGTAAACCTACTTTTGCCCCACCCTATGTTTCCATTCTGGGAAAAATCATCCTTTTCACTTCTCCCTTTGAATGTAATTTTGGGACCCTCGGCCCCAATTCTTCAAAAGACTAGAACCCTAATTACAGCAGGAGGTTGTCTGGGCCACAAGTTGCCTCCAGCTCATACAGACCAAAGGCAAAGCAATGGAGAACCAAGCTCACTTTTAAGCCTTATTAGTGGGCAGTCTACTTGAAAAAATAAAACAGATCCAGTTGAAATGTTGATCTGAAAAAGATATTTACCAATGGGGGTCCAGAAAGCTTATGAACACTGGGAATCCAGGAAGTGTGGTGCCATTTTACAAGTTCAAGAGGTAAAACTATGGTAACATAGCTTTACAGGTAGGTACAAGGCAAGAGGGATAGGAGGTAGAGCACCTTCATCTCTTTGGGATGCAGAGAAGTTATTAAGCTGCACATTTTTTTGCCCGCTCACCCACGCAGGGGCACGTACAAGTGCACCAGGTGAGAGCCAAGGTAGGAATGAGTTTCCCTGACACAGAGGAGGCACAGCCTCTGTTCCCTGCCAGTCTCTTTCTGTCATTGTACTCACGGAGGCCTAAGGCCAACTCAGCAGCTCCTGGAGACCAGGTGGAGTTCCATGTAGCAGTTTCCAAACAAACAGCCTGATGACAGACAGGTTGTTGTTCCTGGAAGGGCCCAGGCCTGAGGTTAATTAACCCTTTCCTCACAGGACTGTAGGGATGGGGCTTCTAGAGAGGGTATTCCGGTAGAGGTAGAGCTTGATATGGGTTGTGAAGTGCAGGTAAAATTCAAATGCACAGCACTA